ACTAGTAAATATATTTAAATACATATATTATCTAGTAATTAAGTTATTACTTTGCCATATATTACAATATATTATTTAGGTAAAATATAATTTTAACTGTGAATAATCATTATATTAGATTATATTGTAGAAGTTAACTAAAAAAAAAGCCAAAAAGAAATATCACTGAGTAAAAGAGTTTGAAAACCCTATGTGAACTTTAAGTTTAAATAAGTTGGATGATTTTCTTAAAAACAACAAAAATAATTTAGACTTATTACAAATTGAGGGGTTTCAAAATCTTTTAAATAGTCTTGATAAATTTTTTGAAAAGGAACCAATTTTGTTTCTTACTAATTTTAATCATATACAGGTATTTTCTTTAGCTTTATTAAAAAGTACAGACATAATTCATGCTATTGCTAGTTTTTATAAAAGTTCTATGTTTTTAAACATTATGGTTAGTAGCTATGAAAATAATAAAGAAATAAATTGGCATGGCTTGGTATGTATTAGTGTTCTGACCTAGGTCAGATAATAGTGACCTGACAGGTTAGATATTTAACTCAGGTCATAACTTAGATCAATAAGTCATATGAACAATTATAAAGTTTCTTAAGCATTTTTCAAATTAGTAAAACAATCAAATTTTATAAATACAATAAATCCAGCATATTACAATTGTTTTTACAATAACATGCAGGATTTATTTCATAGAATCGATTGTTTATCTAATTTGAAAAAATTGATAAAGCTGATATAACAATTTTAAATGTAAGGTCACAAAAAAAATTTTTTTTTTTTTGTGAATATATATTTTTATAAAAATTTTGGTTTAGTATAATTAAAGCCAAGTGAATTGGGCTGAATTGAATAAGTATAAAGTATTAACATATTATTTGAAATCAGCTCAAGCTAATAATTTTATAAGAATTTTTGAAACTATTGTCATCATTTTTGCAAAATTTTTAAAAAGAACAATAGTAATAGCAAATACATTATATTTGGAATAGAAAACTTTTTCTACACTGTATAAATATATATTGTATAAAGTTTTATAACTGAGTTTTACTGATAAATACTCACTAAATTGCCAGCACCTGCAATATTACTATCACTAATCTACTTTCAAATAAAATTACTATTATAAAATATTAGTAATTTATTACTTTATTATCCTTTGGTTATTATTATAAACTATTATATTTTTTATAAAAAATTAACAATCTTATTTTATTCTAGAATAAAACATTGTAGTTCTTCAGATTTAAAGATATCAAGACTGTAGATTTTAAATTAGTCAAGCAAAAAAATGAGTAATAAATTTTTAAATGATATAGTATTAGAGCCTAAAAATGATATGATGTTTAAGCCTGATGATGATATGATGTTAGAGCCTGAAGATGAGATGATGTTAGAGCTTGAAGCTAATAATCTGAATAGGTCAGAATTTGATGATACAAATGGATATAAAAATTTACTTTGGTCTTCTATATTACAAACCAGTAACTAATTTTTAGTCAAACAAAAAAAGATCAAAAGACCTGGTGATAGTCCTGTAAAGGAGTTTTATAAAATAAAGTTAATTAATAATCTTGAGTATTGGATATATTATCATAAAACTTGTACTTCAAAAATAAAATACCTAAAGGATGGATCTACTTTAAATTTATGATAATATTTAAAAAATAAATATTATATTTCATAAGCTATGATAGAAGATAGTTGGGTAAAGGTTATAGTAAAAAATAATGTTTGTGAATTTTCTATAATACCAGAATCCTCACAACTAATGATAATAGAAACATTTAACAAAATAAAAAAATATGTGCTTAATAACCCCAAACAAAAAAATTTTAATAATAACATAGTTGCTTTCATTATTAAAAAACTTCAGCTATTTTTGATTATTTATTTATAATTATTTAAAAGAATAATTGAAGGACTAGATGTCCAAGCAAATATACTTAGTAATAATCATCTAAAGGAGATTTTTATTAATTCTGAGAATAAGGTTTTGCAAAACCTTTGTAAATATGCATAAGATAGTTCTAAAATTAGGTATATTTTATTTACTACTGATATGTGAACATCAAGTAATAATGACCAATATATCATATTTACTCTTCACTAGATTAACAATAGTTTTCAAATAAAAGAAATAATTGATAATATTTCATATCTTCCATATCCACATATTACAATTGATAATGGATCAAACATTAAATCTTTTCTAGAAAAATTGGAGCAAAAATATAGCATTTTTAAAGTTTATTGTTTTGATTATACTTTGCAGCTTGCAATTAATAATGCATTAAAAGGTTGTCCTAAAATTACTAACCTAATAAAAAAATATAAAGATGTTGTATCTCATTTTAGTAGAAGTTCAAAGCAAAAACAATTTCTTTTGAAAGCTCAAATAGAGATGAAAAACTGAAATAACTTTTTTTTTGTAGTTTATGATGTTTTTACAAGATAGAGTTTAACATTTTATCTTTTAAAATAATTAACAATTTTTAAGCCAGTAATGTATAAGTATAAGTCATTTTTAGTTAAAATAAATAATAATATTTTACTAAGAAATTATGAAGAAAAAGAACTATCATCAGGTTAATAGGAAAAAATAACCAAATTAGTAAAGTTACTGTATTCTTATAAGGTTATTTCAAAAAAATTATTAGGTTCACACTATCCAATACTTTCTTAAGCATAGTTTGCAGTTAATTTTATTAAAATAAAACTTGATTGTGCAATAACAAATAATAGTGATATTCAAAAATTTAAAAATCTTTTTAATATGTCTATTCAGAAACAATTTTCTAAATCAACAAAACCAATTAAACTTGCAGCATTTTTTGATTTGCAGACTAAAAACATGCAAATTTTTATAGAAAATAAAAGACATAATACTATTTTAGAAGCATGTATAAAGTATCTTGAATTAGCTACTAATTATTATGAATTAAATAATTTATTAGATGCAGTGTCTAGTAACATAAATAGTGAAAATATTTTTTCTAGTTCTGTGGCTCAAAAACATTCAAGCCAAAATAACAATAATATTGCTAACCATGAATTTAACTCCTATTTATTATTACCAAGAGTTCCAGATAAAACAAACATACTTCATTAGTAGGCTTCAAAAAAAGCTGACTATTCTATACTTGCAAAACTTATATATAAGTATCTTTTTATACCAGCTATATTGGTACCATCCAAATGCCTATTCTTATCAGTAGGTTTTACTATCACTAAAAAAAAATACATTTTAATTCTTAATTCATTGAATCAGTTTTGCTTCTTAAAGTGGCTCTCAAGTTTTAGTCTATGTTACATGTTTTTGGCTAGGGTAATAAAAATTTTATACTGTATTTAAATAGTTTAAAATAATAAATTTAGTAACTTAATGTATTTTTATTAAATTAGGCAGATGGTTACATTTTAAGTTAGTTACTGAGTAAATGTAAGCTATATAACCAATTAAAATTGAACTATTAATCTATTTAAAGATTCAGAAAAAAATATACAAAATAAAAAAAATAAATAATGCATTTGCATTAAAAATTAAAAGAAAATTTTACTGTATAGTGAGCAAATATAAGAAATTATCTGAAGATTTTAATAAGCCATTAGAATTATATGTAATTTTTTATGAACATTATAAAGAATTACTATTATTAGATGAATAAAGAAATAATCATAAGAATAAAAATAAGTTGTATTTGTTAAGATACTTGAATAAAAAAAATACATAATGCATGTACTGTATTTAAAACATGATCTTATGATTGATTTAAATTATTATAATGTAATTATATGTAATATTATAATTACTAAATTAACAAAAAAAATTTTGGCTCATTAAAAAAACCTGATAAACATCTAACAAAACTTACCAAAAATGTAATTATTTATTAAAATGCTTATTAAAAAGTTCAAGAACAGGTTTTTGGTTCTTTAAATAATTTATTCACAAAAAAACTTATTTAATAATTTTATAAAGTCACAATGTGAACTTACAATATTAAAATGTAATAACATTGATAAAAATTAAAGTGATCAAATAAAAATTTTTTTTTGTAAACAGTAATATAATAGAATTAAATTTATTTAGTACTGTTTTTTTTTTAAAAAAAAATAAAAAAAGTGTTAAATTAATAAAAAACATTTAAAAAAATTTTTTTGCTATCTCAAATCTTGATCTGTTTGATTCAGGTTAGAGCAATTTCTGATATGTAACCTGAGTTATAACACTAGTATGTATCAAACAGTTGTTCAATTCAATTTTTTTTATTAAAATTTGCCTAACAATGGTAAATTATAATTATAAGCAAATAATAATTTAAGAGTAAATTAATAACATAAATATTATTTTAAGGTACTTTTTATACTTAAATTTTATCAAACAAACCAAGAGCCACTAGAGTTCACCTTAGTCTGTTGGTATGAAAAAGTTGGTAAATTATGAGGATGCCCTAAATTGAAGTTACTTAAACATTATAGTTGTATACTGTTAGATAGCATTGATAAGACAGTACATATAGTTCTAAGATTTAATAAAATAAATGAATATTTATTAAATAACTTTATTTTTTAATTTAAAAATATATTGATATTTAAGTGTATACATTCTGCTTCTGTTATAACAGATTATTCAGACTGAAAAATTCTATTTATTATAATGTATATCTACTATTATGTTATAGTAGTTTTACTAATAAAATAAAGTTAAAATCTGGTATATTAAATTTAGCCAATTATATTTCAAAATTACTAATTACAACTGTTTTTATAAATAAATAAATACTAATACATTTTTGTACATTTACAGTATAACTTTAATAATCTTTAAGTTTATGATATACTATATTAAAATAATAAATTAAAGTCAGTTGGTAAAATAAAACTTAAATACTTATTAAATATTGATATTTTATATTAAATAGTAAAATGCAATTACTTAGTTATATAAAAATTATCGATTATACTAACATCAATAACTTATCAAATTTAGCAGCATAATTATTGATCAACTTTTATGAGATGCCTTGGAATTTATAAAAACAGCTATATTATAAATAAAGCAGTAATTTTGATATAGAACTCTTTCTGCAAATCCATTGCACAAAACTTAACAAAAAATTCGTCCGTCTAAAAACTCTTATAACTATTTATTTTACTAAGACAACCTGTCCTGGGCTCTTAAGT